GGGGGGGGGGGGGGGGGGGGGGGTGCACGAGAGAAAAAAAAACAGAAAAAAAACATAACCCCAGACACTTCACAAACTTTCTCTCGGAGAGCGAAAAGTGAGAATCAACACGCCGAAGCAGCCGGCAAAGGTAATCGCACCCGGTCTCCATCTATCCACTCTTTACCCGACGCCACTTGCTCTGGCCGATGCAACAAAACCCTGCTAGATAGTCGCCAGCGGAAGTGATGATGTCACCACCAAGACAAAACAAGCACTCTCCACGCGCGTGCGGCCAAGCCACGTCAACGAAAATGGGCAGCCGGCTTCGGGCGAGGAGATGGATTCATTCTCTCGTCACGAGGGACAAGAGAGTGAGCGTTCGCCGCCAAGCAGACATGTCGCTTGGGGGAGCGAGTGGGGCAGCCGCAAACTGGCAAGAGCGTTCGCCGCAAACTCGTGCCCTCCAACAAAAAGCAAAACACAGGCGCCGTAGGTTTACAGTGGTCAACAACCCCCCCCCCCCTCACACCCCGGCCCCTTCGAGAAAAAGGAAGCGCTAGACGGTCCTGTGTCGATCGCCCTTCTTCCTTCCAAGACATATCTGTTGGTTGTCATGCCCAGGCCAAAGGCCCACGGTCTACGGCCGAACCGAACTACCACCAGACCTCTACTGCGCGCGGAGTACTGCCAAAAAACAGCCTAGGTTGAAAAACCTCCTCCCGATACCGGGGGCGGGGCTATCCATCAACACATCAACACCCCTATCGCGCTTCCGCGTTGCCGGAAAATAAAAACGAACGACCTGCCTGCCTGCCTGCCTGCCTGCCTGCCTGCCGAAAAGCAGCAGCCTGCCCTTTCTGCGGCGAACGCCCTGCTCAGGATGTTTCTCTTCGGTGAACGGAGACGAAGAAAAAAACCTGCTCTGCTGTTGCTGTTTTGCTTCTGTTACCGATAAGCGCTACCGGTGCTCTCTAGCGCCCGTGCACAAGAAGTCAACACATGCTCTCGCGTAGTAGTGCCGTCACGGCGGTGCCTTCCCGCCCCCGCCAGCAAAAAAAAAAACTTCATTCCTCTCACTTAAAAAGCTCTTCCTTCCTCTCCCTTAAAAAGCCCTTCCTTCCTCTCCCTTTCCTTTCCTTCCACTGACTGCTGTGTCAACCAACACCAAACTCAACTACCCTTTTTTTTCTCTTCTCTCTTTTCTTCTTCGTGTGTGCAACAAACGACAGACAGACAACGCCTTTTTCATCAAAGTTTTCGAGCAGAGAGACCACTCGCTAAAAGTACTCAAACCAATCCATCTCGAGCCGATCCCCTCCTCTTCCTCTTACACCTCAGACCCCCAAACCAAAGCTAACTCCACCTGCCCCACCCCCCCCCCCCGGAAAGT